TCCTCTCCCAGTCGATATGCCCCCTAACGGTAATCACAGATCTGACTTCTATCACTGTAGATGAGCTTTTTCTGATTTTCTTTTAACGTTGAATTGAATTTATTGAAATAACAGAGGCATTTCGTTATCACACATAATGAGATGTCTAGACGCAGGTGCCTCCAGAGCTGATCCACCTAGGGCACTGGTCAACTGCTCTGTGAGGTTCTGGCTTTTTCCTTATGGCTGGCAAGGTAGCTGCCAGAGCCCCAAACATCATACCCTCACAGCACAATGTCGAAGGAAGGAAGCAGCAATAACCAGGCTAATGAGACATCTCAAGTGCTTTCCTGTTTTCTCAAATACATAGAACATGATCAGCTGAATGGGGGCTGGGAAAGTCAGTGATCCCCTTTTTTAGAATCTGTGATAGGAGATGAGTAGAGAAAAACAAGGTTGAGTATCATTATGACAGTCAAATAATTTCCTTGGTTTCCTACCAGGCCCTTTCAATGCTAGGAATCAAGTGGTACAAATATTTATTTTGGTTCAAGTGTGTTTTTCTGACCAAGGTATAATCATCGCTCTGGAATTTTCTGTTCTTACTGAACTCCTTGAAATGTATTGTTTTTGCTTGCTTGTTTTGGGTTTTTTCTTTTTTTTCCCCAGTTTTATTGAGATATAATTGACGTACAGCACTGTATAAGTTTCAGGTGCACAGTACAATGTTTGACGTCCATATATTGTGAAATGATTACCACAATAAGTTTAGTTAGTATTCATCATCTCTTATAATACAAAAAATATGTATTAAGAAAAATATTTGTTCCTTGTGATGAGAACTCAGGATTTATTCTCTTAACCACTTTCCTATATGCCATACAGCAGTGCTAGCTACATCATCATGTTGTACATTACACTCCTAGTTCTTATCTTGTAACTGGAAGTCTGTACCTTTTGACCACCTTCATCCAGTTCCACCTCTCCACAACCCCTGCCTCTGGTAACCACAAATCTGATGACTTTTTCTATGAGTTTGGTTTTCTTTTTCTTTTTGTTATTTTTACATTTCACATATAAGCGAGATCATTACAGTATTTGTCTTTTTCTGTCTGACATTTCATTTAGCATAATGCCCTTCAGTTCCACCCATGTTGTTGCAAATGTCAGAATTTCTTCTTTTTTATAGCAGAATAATATTCCATTGTATCTATATTCCACAACTTCTTTTTTTTAAAATTTTTTGCGGTACGCGGGCCTCTCACTGCTATGGCCTCTCCCGTTGTGGAGCACAGGCTCCAGACGTGCAGGCCCAGCGGCCATGGCTCACGGGCCCAACCGCTCCACGGCATGTGGGATCCTCCCGGACCGGGGCACGAACCCATTTCCCCTGCATCGGCAGGCGGACTCTCAACCACTGCGCCACCAGGGAAGCCCCTCCACAACTTCTTTATCCATTCATCTGTTGATGGACACTTAGGCTATTTCCATGTCTTGGCTATTGTAAATAATGCTACTATAAACATGGGGTGCAGATATCTCCACACAGGATTTTCATTCCTTTCAGATATATATCCAGAGGTGGAATGGCTGGATCATATAATAGTTCTACTTTTATTTTTTTGAGGAACCTCCATACTGTTTTTCCACAGTGGCTGTCCCAGTTTACCATGCCGCCAGCCGCGCACAAGGGTTCCCTTTACTTCACAGCTGCACCGGCAATTGTTATATCTTGTCTTTTTGATGTTAGTCATTCTAACAGGCATGAGGTGATATCTCATTGTGGTCTTGATTTGCATTTCCCTAATGATTAGTGATGTAGAACATCTTTTCATGTACCTGTTGGCCATTCCTATACTTCTTTGGAAAAATGTCTATTCAGGTCCATTGTCCATTTTTACATTGGGTTATTTGTTTTTTGCTATTGAGTTGTATGAGTTCTTTACATTTGGGGATATTAACTCCTTTATCAGATATAAGGTTTGCAGATATTTTTTCCCATTCAGTAGGTTGTCTTTTCATTTTGTTAATTGTTTCTTTTGCTGTGAGTTTGCCTGTGTTGAACTTCATAAAAATGAACTCACACAGTATGTATTCTGTTGTGCCTGGTTCCATTCACTCAATATTCTTTCTGTGAAATTCAGTCATATTGTTGTGCATTGCAGGGGTTTGTTCATTTTCATTGCTAAATGGTATTCCTCATGTGAATATTTAATTATACTTTTTAATGATCTTTTTAATTTTCACTTTTTAACTCAATTGTTGATGGGGATTTGAGTTGTTTCCAGTTTTGGTGAGAACACATACATCCCTCTGTTGGGTGTATATTTAGGAGTGGAATTTCTGGGGGATGGGGTGTGCATATACTGCCAAAGTTTCCAAAATGGCTGTACCAGTTTATAACCCCACTTGCAGTGAATGAAAGTTCAATTGTTTCACCTCCTCACCAACATTTGTACTGTCAGTTTTTTTGTTAAGTTAGACAAGGATGTCACAGTATGTAGTAATATCTCACTGTGATTTTAATTTGCATTCCCCCATGACTAATAGAGCTGAGTACACTTCTGTGTTTATCTACCATTTGTATATCCTCTCTTAGAAAGTTTAAAACAGATGTTGTCTCTCTTTTTCTTATTCATTATTATTTACAAACTGTTTTGGTATCAAAAGAAAACTACCAAAGCCTCCCTGAGCCTACATTCATCTCTGACATCTGGGGCCACTCATGCCTCATCTTTTCTCCCAAGGAGGTGAGGAGAATCCAAATGTGATGTGTGCACTCAAGTTTTCAGAAAACTGCAAAGGTCTGTTGAAGGCACAATTATCGTCATTGGAAGGGTTGGTTCATGCAGAAGCTGGAATGTTTTTTCAGGGTTGAATGTCCTAGAAGGGATGCTTACCAGAGATAGGGAGAGGGTCCACATGGAGGACGTCAAAGTCTGACTCATTCTACTTATGATCCTGTAACACCTCCCCTCCTCCCCTTATCACACTACCGTAATTACTTGTCTCTTCTCCTAGACCTACATCTGGCAGAGCTCTTTTCATTTATGTCATTGGTGTAGATAAGTGGTATACACAGGCTTTGGCCCTTGGTAGATCTCAGAAAAACCACCATCAGATAGGACAGAGTCCTCCAAATGACGTCTCTCATAGCTTCCTGTATTCTTTCTTCATAATGCTCTTCTTACTTCTTAATTACCTATTTGTGTGATTATTTGATTTTTTTGCATTCTTCTGTAGCCCATAATTCCCTCGAAGCTGAGACCCTGTCCCTTTTATCCACTGTCCTACCTCATGTGTTTACCAGTGCCCGGTACAGAGTACTTAATTAGTATTAATCAACAAATAACTGAAATCATTTAGATCTGAATCCCAGAGCTGCACCATACCATGGCACAGGCCCCATCTTTCCTTAAGTGCCCATGAAATGGCGTTCTCCCTCCTTGAGACTAGTTTCATTCACCAAGTGTTATTGGAAAGGTATAATGGGAAGACAGGGAGACAAGCAGTATGGAATGACCTGATTTGGTCTCCCCGGCTCCCCCACTAACTTGCTGTGTACCCCCCTCCTCCTGCCAGGAAGTTATTTTGTCTATCTGGAACTTTGTTCCCCTAGATTTGAAAGAAAAACTTTGGACTCTGGCCTTAAGAATCTCCCTCGCTGCATTGTGGGGTCCAAAGTTACAACTCCACTTAAAGGAAAATGCTGAGTTAGGACAGGGACCTGAGTGAGGCTTGTGTAGCAGCGAAGAGCAGGCTGACCTTGGTGGCAGAAAGGAAGCCACAAGCCACATGGGTTTATTCCCAGGCCCTGAAATCAAATGGGAGTTTGCCTGGCTGCGTTTTAAAATTGCTTGAGACCAATGATTCCCTCTTTCCTTCCATTTTCTCTTTTGACTAGGAATGTCTGTAACTGTTATTCTATGCCTGTCCCATCATAGAATTTTGGGAGCAGATAACTTATTTCTTAAGTTTCACGGATTCATAGATGGAGAGGAATTGTGCCTCAGGATGGATTAAACCCAGAAGCTCATCCTTACCTTATTTAGAGGATGTAGTTTGATAATGAGATTTGAGATTTTGAATTGATGCTATCATGTGTTGAGACTTTGGTGAATGTTGGGATAGGGTGAGTATACTTTGCATGTGGGCTGGATGTGAATCTTTGGCGACCACAGGTAGGCAGAATAATGGTCCCCTCAAAGATGCCCATGTCCTAATCCCCAGAACCTGTGACTATGTTATGTGACATGGCAACAGGGGAATTAAGGAATTAAGGTAGCTAATCAGCTGACTGTAACCTCCAGGAAACGGAGCCCCTAAGGACTCCAGAACGAGAAGATAGTACATTTGTGCTGTTTTAAGCCACAAGTTGGTGGTAATTTGTGACAGCAGCAAAATAGGAAATGAATCCAAGCTCTGGCCTGCAGTTTACTCCTCTACGACCTTAAACATCATCTTTGCATTCCTTAGCCGTCCTTATTTCTCAAAATAAGAACTGCTGGAAGGATCAAAAGCGACAAATAGGCCACAGCGCCTGGCACGCAGGTGCTTAAACAATGTGAGTGAACGTCCAGCTTCTTCCAGGCTGGGGAGACACAGGGAAGGAAAGCAGGGGGCAAATACCATTCTTAGCGGTGCAGCCTCCTTCCTTTGATGTCGCCGGCTGCCGAAGCACACCTTATCTACAGCCTGCTCCTTATCTGCTTTCGGGGACCCACAGCTCCCCCTGCCTCGAGGAAACCCCCCTTTTGAATACAAAAGCTCTTTAGAAGACCCTGAGAGGAGAGCAGGACCGGAGCTCTCTCTGTTCACTCTGCAAACAGGCTCTCAGAGATGAAAGAGCTTGGGGCATCCCTGTCGACAGTACCATGGCCACCATATTTTCCATTGAGAGAATCCCACGGTGATGCCCTGAGGGGAGGCGAGGCCCCTCGAGGAGCACAGCCTTCAAGTCCCCCTCCTCCCACCCACCCAAGACCAACCCCCTCAATCATTCCGAGCTTCCAACTCCCTCCTTAGTTGTTATGAGCTTTTATTTAAAAAGCACCTTTAATACAAGTATAGTTTCGCAGATACAAGTTTTCACTTTGTATTCTACAAAAGTCTTTGAATATTATTCTCTTTACAAAATGGAACCTTACAAAAATACTGACAATTTAATGTTTTTATACAGTTTTCTCTAGTTGCAGTTATTTCTTTCATTGTAAAAACAATGTCTAGCACAGAACTACAATATTTTAGTTGATATTAAAAAAAAATGAACTCCATGCTTTTGTAAGCAGCTAATGTAAATAACACAGGTCGAGACACAGTTTATAGTCATAGTGGATATAGCTAAAATTGTTTCAGAAATAATATTTTACATAGTTAACTTTTAATGTTTTATACATTATTTATATAATATTTATATATAAAAATCATAGCTTGCTATAAGTTGAAATGAAAGGACGGCTTCTGTTGTAAGGATGTGCATGTGGTTGACCCATGTGGTTACATTTAGCCCTTTGAAAGGTTTGCATCCGAGATCTGAAAGCATTTCTTCCTTCCTCCTTTCCTCAAAGGTTCAGTAGAAGCGGTCCCTGTCTGCTGCCTCGAGTGGGACCTTGCTTGGAAGGACACTTACGGAGAGAGGATGAGGAAACTCTACGGAGATTTAACCCACGTGTTCTGCCCAGCAGAACCTACCAAGAACTGCCCTAGAGATCAACCCCAAGACAATAGTGCTTTACACAGCTTAGCAAGAGCGGCTCCCCCAGAGACCCCCACTTTATCTGGAAGGGCAGCCTCTGGGATGTGAGACTGTCTGCTACTCTGGCTCATTCAGACTTTTGCTTCACTTTTCATTCTGCCCCCTCCACTCCTTCATCTCTTGCATGGAAGGCTGCTTTCCATCAGCTGATGGCAGACCACATCTTTGATCGTCTCCGGGCGCTCCCAGGCAATCCCGGTGGGCACCCAGCAAGGGTTTCCAGGAAGAAAGCAGTAACCGAAGCTAACCATCACTACTTGAGCGTGGCAGTGCCCCGGTGTTTGATGTACAGGACATCAGCATCCTGTAATTTACATCTCAGCATCACAGGCTGGTGCACCAAGAGAAGACACGGGAGGGCCTGTGCCCTCGAGCGTTTCTGAAATTGTGCTGTTTGTGAAATTCACTCATCCACAAAGAGTCACCTAATCGCTAAAGTGAGGGACTGCGGTTGCTGGCCTACGGGCTGCGGAAGTGAGCGATAAGGCTTCACAACTGGGAATTTGGATTCAGGATCTGATCGCTTGACTGAGCAAACATGCTCTCTTCTTAGAGTTAAAAACAAAAACAAACAAACAAATAAGATTCCTGAACCAAAGTCACAGTGGAGAATCGAGTGGTGTGGACAGAGAGACACAACAGGGGAGCCCCCCATGGCTATTTTCTTGATTCAGTGCTATTTCTGGCGTCGTGTGCTACAAGGTGAATTTGAGCTTTTCCAACAGGCCTGGGATTCCTCAGGTCACAGAGGTGACCGGCAGGCTCTACTCAAATCATCTTAGTGTTTGTTCCGGAACAAGCCTGTGTTCACTAGAACATGAACACTTAAACCAACTGCACATCCAGGATTCCCGCACTCGCTGTTAGTTTGCTGTTGTTTCCATATAGGTGAACACTACCTATTTTGGAAGGCCACAAGGTAAGACTTTTTTTTTCCTTTTTAAAAATCAGTTGGGCAAAAAGTTTTTCCCTACATTCTACTGTCTGATGAGATAGAGGAGCAGCAAAAACTTGCTGTCAGCAGTCATTTTCCAAAAACAGCTCAGGAGGTGGGTAGTACCTACACCATGTTGTGGTGATTGTTCCTGTCGATAATGTCCACAGGTGAAAGGATGTCCTTCCTGATAGCAGGAGGAGGCAGGGAGAGTGTCGTCTTGGTCTTGAAGAGGTCAGACACGAAGAAAACCTAGAAGCACAAAATCAGAGATTCCAATCAGTCACTGACATCTGAGCCTTGGGGAGAGGCAAAGGCAAAGGCAAAGGGAAGACCATAGGAGCATAGACTTTAGAGAAAGGCGCCTCCAAACTGTAGATCTTTGAATACGAAAGGACCAAGGAGACCACAGAGTCCAAGTCTTCTTGTACAGAGAGGAAAACTGAGGCCCAGAGAAAGGCAGTGACACGCCCGACGTTGCACAGCCATGGCAGGGGCAGCCCGCACTTCCGTGGGCTCTCAGTCCAGTGCCCCCTGTGTGCAAGCCCCACTTCCTTATTTCTCAAGGTAAATGAGTAGCAGTGAAAGATAAGTTCTCACACAAAGGAAGCAAGTCATAATTAGTCACCGTCATTAGTCCGTGATACTTTCCCTTTCCTCACAAAGGAATCTAGGGTGTAACCAAAAGAGATCAGCCAGTACGAATTCCTATCGGCAGGCGCTGGAGCAAGGAAGCCGTCGCTATCACCTTTTCCTGAAAGCCCAGTGATGTCAACAATTTGATGGGGTTCGAGAAGCCAGGGTCTCCTGACTGAAGGAGTCAGCAACTAACCCGGTGGAAAGGTCAACAAAAATTCTCCTATCGCTTATTCCCAACCTCCTTCCTCCTCCTGAGCATGTGCCCTCACGGAGTCGTTCTTAGAATCGCTGAGAAACCTTTACTTGAACGCTTACCCACAAGGGTATAAGGATGGCTCGGGCAGAGTTCCGGTCTCAATTAGCTTATGATGAAAGATTCAAGAACTTGCTAAGTTACCAGAGTAAGAAAAATTTATGCTTTGTATTAGGTGGCAAAATAAATACACAGATATCCATTTGAGCCATTAAGCAACAGGCGTTTGTACTAAGTAGCCATAAGAGGCAGCTGTCAGTCATGTAATTTAATAGGAAACATATGGCTGAGTTTAGCCACTAGTGTTTTAGTGGCTAAAACACTTCAAAGGTCCTATGGCTAACGGCTCTCTGGATGGAAGAGTCTGTCCTGCAGATGGTCACGTGCTCACTAATAATCACGGCCCTGTGACTTCATTCAGGGCCCATTATAGGCAAGAAAATGAAGTTCTTAATAAGACTGCACCAATACCAAGGCTCTGCAGCCAGGGCCTGGCCACAGAAGTGACTTGGATCCTTTGCTGAACCAATTTCCACAGTGTTCTCTCTGTAGCGATACAGCCATCAGCAAAGTGCAATCAAAATCACAGCAAGACACAGGTGATGCTGGTCACCCCAGGAGCATGGGGTGACTAGAAGGCAAATGGGAAGCGGAGGCTTATTTACTGGCCACCATAAAATTCTTTGTATTGTATGTTTTGAATTTTTGTACCCATTATATATATATTACTTAAACATTTCACTACTAGTTTTTGGTTAAAAATATATATATATATGTATATATATATACAGAAAGAAGGCTAGGCGATTTCTATCCTACAGCAAGAAAGTGAAATATTAGCCAAGAAATGGAACATTTTAAGACATTTGCAGCCTGAGTGCTATTGAATGTACCATTTTGCAAAGGAAAAAATTAAGCCTTTTGTCTCTTTCTTTTCTAAGGAGGTGTGAACAGTGAGAACCGTGGCACAGAAAGGTTTGTGTCGTAGCCAGGGCCAGCTTGAGAACCAGGAGAGAAAAGGTTTGTACCCAACCCTGCCAGGAGGCCCTAGGCTCCCCCTGCACGGGAACCCTTTACAAACAGGTGGGGAAGGGGGGTTTCAGTTGCCCCCAGTATAAGGAAATCTGAACAAACATGATTAAAGTTATAGGAGATCATTAAACTTTTCAACTCTTCTCTGACAGGTGGAGAGCCCATGTCCTCATCTCTACCTGGAAATTACCTTCCCCTTCCTCCTTCGCTTTGTCCCCGAGGAAGAGATTTCGGTCAGTCTCTCCATCGCTGGCTCTGAACTCCACTTTCTCCAGCCTAGCAGCGAGCACCACCAAATAAGGGTTCTTACGAATCTCATTCCTTAGAGATCTTTCTCCCAGCCTGTGTGCCATGTGCTGAGGGCAAAGACGGCAGGGGACACCCTCACACAAACATCCCTCCCTTCAAGATCCCGATACCACCTCCATCTACTGGCTGACTTCCCAATTTAATTTCCTGAGCTCATATCCACTACATGTTAAGAGTTTCCGTTTCCGAACTGCAAGATAGGAATGAAATGAAGGTTAAAGGCAAGAATGTACTTGATAAGAACTAAACCTGCATCTGGCACATAGTTCAATAAAGGCGTTCCTTGTGTGGTACCAAGGTCGTGTCTGGGCCTAGAGTAAGCCACGTCCTCTCGTGTCTCCAAAACTTTGCCCATCAGTCTTTCTTCCTAATGAGAGGCTTCCTGAGGATGCAGCCCAGCCCTAATCATCCCACATCACCCACAGGCCTTTGCATTGAGCCTTGCACACACCAGGAGCTTATAAAATGTTTGCTGTTGAATTCCTCCACTTCTTTCCACTGGAAGCAAGCACTCTGGCCTTGGATCTTATCGGCAACGGAGAACGCCTACGGATGTCAGGGGGACCACACCCTCCCACGCCACATGCACACACCCCAGCGGCAAGATAAAAAGTGGAGTCGGGTCCAGCAGGATCCCCCCTTAAGCTGTATTTTGCCTTCAGCATGGCCTGAGGTTACGCAAACACTTTTTGGGGGATCATGAAACACGATCCCGTCAAGACTCAAACAGGGCTCCTTCTTCATGCTTGAACAGCAGAATACAAAAAGGACTAGGAAAGGCCAGTTCTATTTCCTGCAGAAGATGATTTCCACCTGGAAAGAAAACCCAGAGGCCCAGGCTGGGAAGGGTCTACACGAATTAGGTGGCTACCCCAGGTCTGAGGGACAAAGCCACTCCCAGCCCACAGCCCCACTGCACAGACCTCCTCTGTGGTGTGAAAGAGCCGATCAGACGACAGTCTTGGCAAACATGAAATCTAGGCGCGAAGCACCAGGGAGAGTTTTAAGTTCTCCTACCCTGAGCATATGCTTTCAATTCCATCTATCTTCTCCTCTACCTTCACAAATTGCTTTTGTGAAAAGTGCAATCAGTAAACACTTATTGAACATCTGCTCCGTGCCAAAGCCCTGAGATGATAAATATACAGAAGAGAGAGAGTTCTTTGCCCTCCAAGAGCTCACAGGGCAATGAGGGAGAGATCCAGGTAAACAGAGCAGTTACAATAGTGTTCTGAGGATTATGACAGAGGGAAGCCGGGGTGTTAAAGCAACACAGAGAATGTGGCATCTAACCCAGGCTGAAGTGGAGGGGAGAGGGCCTTAGGAGGCTTCCCCCAAAGGAGGTGTATTTGAGCTTAGCTTTGAAGGATAAGTAGGAGTAAGCCAGGTGGTGAATGCCAGGAATGTTATTCTAGGCAAAGGGAGTAGCACGTGCGAAGGCACAGGAGTGAGGGAGCCCAGCTCGTTCAGGGGCCGCAGGAAGCTCAGTATAGGGAGGGCTGAGCGGTCAGTGAGGCTGGAGGGGGAGCCAGATACTGAGAAGGGGTCTGGCACAGCCCGTAGGAGCCACTGTCAAGGCTGAAACAGGGAAGCGGCACGTTGGGAAGACTTGCATTAAGATCATTGATTACCTAAGCAGGAGAAGGCGTCAGAAAGGGAGCCGAGGGCCCGAAGGCAGGGGTCCCGGTCAGGACACTGTTGCAGAATCTAGGAGAGGATGAGTCCTGTAAGATCACCATGCAGTGAAGACAAAGAAGAGATGGGTTTTTGAAACGTTGAGGACACAAACTGCCGTTGATGGAGGTGGCATGTATGTGTGCAGGGGGACATAATGCTTTTATTTCTAGTTTTGTTTTTAACTCTAGAAATCTCTCACTTGTTCCCAACGAAACTCTTCAAGTTTGGGTAACTACGTTAGGGGAAAAATGACAGCTCTGCTTTCCTCTGCCTTCTAAAATTCTGGCTCCCTCAAATATTTGCTTGGGAAAGTGGTTCTGACCTTCTCCCGAGTCAGAAAGGCAAGCTTTTCTGTGATCTGAGGGCGTAGTAATCTGATTCAGACAAGCACTCAAGACAATGAAGCCCTTCCACCGAGAGCAAACACACAAACAGGGCAACTCCTGGCTGGAGGAATCCTGTTGGCGGTAATGAGATGAGACATGTACAGGAGTCTCCTTCTAAATGGCAACTCTTGTTACTGTGCCATTGGGTCACCACCTCCCACTCTCCATGTAGCACTGATGACAAGCTTTGCTCTTGGTAGTGGGACAGACTTGTCTTTAAATCCAAGTTTTGCCATTTTCAGCAAAATACCTGAATGAGGGATACAATGCCTACCTCAGAGGTTTACTCAAAGGATTATATGATGTCACAAAATGAGCAAGTGGGGCTTGTTAATAAACAGAGCAATGATCACTGGCTTGCGTGTTCAGTGCCTACCCACATCAAGTCACGTCTCTTCCCCTGCCCCTTGGGTGGAAAGAAAAGAAACAAGAGAAGGAACCAGAAAAAAGGAAAATTAGAGAGGGGAAAATTGAAATGATTGAGAATATGGACGAATAGGTGAAAGCCTGTATAGATTCAAGCCAGAAATAAAGACCATATGAGATGGGAGTTTTCCACAGGGCAGATAGGATATGCTCTCAAAGTCCAATAATTTCTGGGGCTATTTTGGGGAATGAGTCAGCACAATCAAAAAGGAAGATGCTTCCAATGCCTCGTTACCAGCATTCACCAGCTCTGGAGATGCCCAAAGCACACAGCCCAGCCTGGCCTAGGTGCTGCCTGCCTGGAGCTCACCAAGAACCACTGGCCAGAAACAAAAAGTCTCGTCTGCAGCCAGGTTTCCACTCCCATTGCTGCAAATTGCTGAGTCAGCAAGCCCTGAGTGTCATTTTTTTAAGGGCAGATTATGACAACAAAATTGTCCTTTAAATATTTCTGGAGTCCCTGAGTGTTTCAAGTCCTGAGAGTGCATAAGAGAACTCCTTGAAGACAGGCACCACATCCTTATATATTG